TGTGAACACTTAAAACTAATACAAGTATTTTTCTTAAAGGATTTGCATAAAATTAAATTTTTACCTTTAATTTGCTTTGCTGAAATTGTGACTTAAAATAGTTCTGTTTTAGATAGGCGTTATACATATTATATTTTTTCTCGCCACTGCAACAAAATTCAAATAAACTAATTGAGTTTAGGTCACAAAAATTTCATAAATAATTTAAATTTTTTCAGCGCTTTTCATTTTTATGAATTTTATATTACGAACTTCCAATTGCAAATATTTATACATAACATATTACATGTGTGCATATGATACAATGTGATTTACAAATAATTAATACACTACCCATTAAAACTACCCCTTAAACTTTGAAAAATAAGACAAATTTTAAAGCTTTGGAGTGGGAGATGTTTAAGAAAATTTCGGATATATTAATTTAATGATATGACTCTACTTCAGAAAATTGAATGAGCACAAAAGCCAAAAACATGACAATAAAAATTTAAAGTTTACCTTCACAACAATATAAATTCAAATGCCTAATATTTCGCAATTTTCATGGTCTAATCTAAATGGTTGTGTATATGGTGTATTATTTTTTATTAAGTCATCCTGTATATATGAATATTTTCTAATTATAATTTAGATCAATCATCTGCATTATTGGGATTGAATTGTTCGATTACGTTGCCCAGTAACCTGTCATCATCACCTTTATCACCATCTTCACTTAATATTGACAGCAGCAATAACAACAACATCAGCAACAACAAAAATATAAATTTTAATAATAGTAATAGTACATATCCAATAGGAAACTTTTCTGATACGACATCATTATCATCATTACCAGGATCAAGTAGTACATTTACAACAACAATTACTACAACTACGACAACAGTAAAATCAACAGCGCCATTATCAACTTTAACAACTAGCCCTCCATTATTAACTACACATCAAATTAATTCACAAACACTACCAAATATTTCTGAAGATTTTAGTATATTTAATTTACCATTTTCAAGTTTTGCAGCTGCAGCTACAGCAGCTGCAGCTGCTGCTGTTGCTACAAATAACAGTAGTAGTAATTATATTTTTAATAACAACAACAACAATAATAATAGCATCAGTAATAATAATATTAGCAACAATAGTATTAACAATCAATTAACAGCAGCGGCTGCATTAGGATTAATAACTGCTGGTGGAGCGAACCAACACCAAATTTGTCTAAAAAATAATTTGGCATCGTCCTCCTTATTTTCATCAATAGCTTCAGCTGCTGCTTTAAATAACAATACTAATAACAACAATAACAACAGCAACAACAATAATAATAACAATAATAATAGTAATAATAATAATATTAACAGCAATAATAATGCAGCTCAAACATCGCTATCTAATATTTTAGCTGATACGATTACAGTTGATACAATATCTACCTATACAAGTCCTTTAACGAATTTTTTAGAACAGCATCAATCTCTTGATATTGCAAAAATGCATTTAGAACGTTATTTAAAATTGACAAACCAATTTTTACAACAAACGGCAATCACATCAGCAGCTGTACGTTCAGCATCAAATAATACATCTACATCATCGATAGACGCAATTAATTCTATTATACATTCTAATATAATTACAAATAAAATTGCGACAAATAATTTAATAGCAATTATTAATAAACTATTAGAACAGAATATAATATCAGAATACTATTTTAAACGAAGTTTACAGGGACAACAACAAGCTGTAACAGCAGCAGCTTTGTTAAATCCATTAACTACATTAAATATTCCAAATACTGCTGGCATATTAAATAGTGCTTTGACATCAGTTGCAGCTGCTGCCGCTGCAGCAACAAACACAAATAACATAAGTTCAACGTCATTGTCTATTCAGAATCCACAGCAACAACAACATAATATGGAAAACAACAATCAAATGAGTGGCAGTATTAATAATAATAGTAATATAAGTAAAAACCATATTAGTAATAACATTAATAATAATAATTATAATAATGTTAATAATAATAGTAATAGTGATAGTAATAATAATAATAGTAATAGTAATAATAATAACATTAATATTAATAGCAATAATAACAGCTGTAATAATAATGGTAGCACGAACAATAATAACAACAGTACTTGTAATAATAATAATAATAATAATAATAATAACAGTAATAATAATAACAATAATTATAATAATAATAATTATGATAACAATAATGTAAATAATAATATTAGTCATAATAATAATAACAATAGAAATACTAATGATAATATTAATAACAGTAATAATATACATAACAATTTAAATATTAACAAAAATAATTATTGCAATAGTAGTATCTCTAATCATAACAGCAATCATAATTGTATTAACAGTAATGATAGTTGTAATTGTAATGTAAATAATGTTAATGGTAATATAGAACATTGTCGTAACAATAATTATAATTCTAATAGTAATAATATTAATGCTTGTAAAAAAATGAATGATAATGATAATAATATTAATGCTAACAATATTAGTAACAATTGTAATAGTGTACAAAATTTTGACTACAGTGATAGTTGTAATAAAAATTTAAAGAATTTATTAAATAATAATGCAATGAATGATAATAATCGTAAAATTAATTGTAATAATTATAATTATAAAAATTGTAGTAATATTAATAATAATAATAACAGTAACAATAATAATAATAATAATAGTAATAATAACAATAATAATAATAATAATAATAATAATAATAATAATAATAATAATAATACTATTGATGCAAATAATAATGATAATAACAATAACTCAATCAATATAAATAATAATGATAATAGTAACAGTAATAATAACAATGATTACAATAATAATAATAAAAATAATAATTATAATAATCAAAATGATAGTTTCAATAATGAAATTGATCATATAAATAATTTCAAAGAACACGAAAAACAGATTTTAGCAATTAAACATGATATAATAGATTGTAAATTAAATAATAAAAATAATAATAATAATAATAATAATAATAGTGATAATAATAACAATAATGAATTAGATAACGAAAATTTAAATTGTAGTTTAATTGATTTTGTTAATAATAGTAATAATAATAATTTGAATAATAATTTAACAATATCAAATAAATTAAATAAAGCAAAATTAGATTTAAATTTGAAACATGAACAACAACAACAATTTTCTAATCAAAATACATCTGTTGCATCAGCAGCTGCTGTTGCTGCGGCAGCAGCTGCAGCAGCTTCAACAGCTAACCTAAAATCATTAATAAATGCTAGATTTAAGGCTACATTACAATTAGTTGCAGCGGGAGTTGTTGAGCCTTTCGACTTAAGCCAAAGGTTTTATTATTGCTAATATTATCTTTTTTTTTCTGCTTGCTTTCAATTTTATAATATATTTGTTTATTTTTGTATCAGTAACAAAGATATCGCAAATATTAAATATAATTGTATGCATTCAGGGTGTTTCGCATAAGGTGCAAATAATCTCAGAGATGATTCTTTGATCAATTTTCATCAAAAAGATATATAGGTTTGGAGGAGGAGGGGCTGGTGTGTGCAGATATATTCGTTTTGTTAAACATGTTAAATATGGTTTTAAAACATGCACAAAATGTGTAGCTCATACATTTCATACAAATTTCTTTATATACATACACATTAAATTAAAAATACTTAGTGTATTTTATTTTCGTATCAAATGTATGAACTATACGTTTTTCGCATGGTTTTTTAAACATATTTAGCACATTTTACTGGCAAAACTATGATAAATAGAGGAAGAGGTTATATGGGTTAACTTTTAGTTCTCATTGCAGCGCATCGAAAAAAAATAACATAAATTTTCGCGAAATTGTGAGTTTTTTAAAAAAATTTTTAAAAAAAGAAACAAAAATTTTAATTTTGACGAGTTTTATCTCGGAAACTATGATTCAAATCAAATTAACCGAAAAAAAGCAGTTAATCGATTGTAAAACAAGCCCCCTATGTTACTCTATGTTGCATGGTTCCGAAAGTATAAGTGTTTATATCTTATTTATATGCAGGAAAAATCTTGTACCATTTTTTTTCTCAACAGGCTGTAACTTAAAATCGAGATAATCTGCACACCGTCCCCAGTCACTCGAAAAAATTTTGTGCTGGAAATTAATCAAATAATCATCCTTTAAATAATTTGTCACCTTACGCGAAATACCCTGCATATGTTGTAGTTTAAGAACATTATTATTGTGAGAATTCTAAGTTTCAAAATATTTTTATATTGAAGGTTTTAACCTTTAAAATTAAGTAATATTTAAAAATTTTATATAAATTAAAATGTTTCCATATTAAACGGCTTCATCTCAGTATAATAAAATAATTACAATTGCTTTAGGTATTTATCTCAAATAGCTAAAAATGTACACCTTCGTCCCTTCCATTTTAATATGACATTTTTGTTTGACAGAACTAATAATCCACCAAAGTCTAGTTTGCTTGTCGGAGCCCTAGAAGCTTTTCTGGAGAGCTTCAGCTTTTTCTTTTCCTTTTCGTTCTTTACGATATCACAGATTTTGTTTGGTATAATGTAAGTTGATTATATCGATCCAAACGGTTGATTCTATACTAACTTTCAATTCACGAAATTAAAAATTTTGTTATTCGTGTATAAAAGTTTAGATTGAGAAACGGCTTTACCTTTTAACAGTATAGTAATATCTTAAAAAATATTTAAGTTATCATTAAATGCTCTACAATTTCACATATTATTTTTCATTTCCGAAAGCACTATTCTCATGCAACGCATACTTGAAATATTTTTTTTCGTAACTTTTAAAACATCTATATTATTCAGCAGACCTTGTAAATTCTTGAACTTACAAGCGGAAAAACATGTTTATTATTTAATAAATAAAATGGTTTATGATTTTTATATGTTTTTAATAAAAGCAATATTTTTATTTTTCTTAAACATTTTTACAGAAGTTTAGATCAAAAAAACTCACCGAATATTCAAGCTAATGATAGTAAAGATAATAATAATGAAAAAAATAAAAAACCACATATCAAAAAACCATTAAATGCATTTATGCTGTATATGAAAGAGATGAGAGCGAAAGTTGTTGCAGAATGTACACTTAAAGAATCAGCAGCTATTAATCAAATATTAGGAAGACGGGTAAGTAATTTTACAGTTTATATATTTACATTTAATTCCATTTAATAAATTATAAAATATTCACACATAATTATATACTTTTTTCGTATACAAAACTATTTTCTACATTTTTAAAATTATTTATTTAATTATTTATTTATTCACTTACAATTGGTAGAACTAAATTGCACTTAAAATTGTCAACTCACTAATTTATACTTGTGTACAGACCTGTGTATATAATTCTCTCATAACTCCACGATATTTAAAAATAAAAAAAATACCCTAGAATAATTATATTTATAAAAGTTCAATCAGCCTTAAAAAAGGCAAAATAATATAACATAATATTTAAATTTCAACAGTTTTGCAACTCTTAGATTTAATTCAAATAAATTTCAGAATATAGTAGTATTTTAGAAATGAAAAGTAAAGAAAATACCGTCCATTTTTAGCACTTTTGCAAAAAATTTTTGAGGAAAAGTGCTGATTAGTTTCATTCTGTCCGTCCGTCTGCCCATCCGTCTGTGGACATGTTTACAAAACTTCTACATCCTTGAAGATAGAAAGCCGAAATTTTATGTGCACATAGATCTTTACTAAAAAATTATTTCCGTTGAAGAAAATTTTTACCTATCTCCCACCTTCTAGAAGTTATATCCCCTTAAAACCCTAAAAATGTCATTTTTTAACTATTTATTGCAGTGAAACCATCAGCATTTTTTTAAATTTTGGCCGTTCAAAACAAAATGGCCGTTCAAATTTACGGTTACCTAAAATCCGTTCTTTCCAAACTTTTTATGTAGTTTTTCTTCTACACCTCATTTTCTAGGTGTCTGAAATTTTAGCAGCTTTTAGACATTAATAAATACTTTATTTTGTTAGAAGAAAATTTTTTCCATCTCCACCCCCTCTCAAGTTATCGGATCTTGAAATTTGTAAAATTTGAATTTTTGACGTTTTATATTTCCAAAACCGCAAGCTTTTTCAAATTTCTATAAACGGAGAAAGCTAATGGTAAATTCCATGACATTAAAAAATAAAATTATTTTTCTTACCTCACGCAATTAACCCTTAAAATCGAGCATTATGTTAACCCCTCTTTATATTAATTTTTGCTTTATTTCAAAGACTGCATAAATCGTTCATCCTAAATATATGCAATCCTAGAAATAGTTTCGTTTATGAATGAAAATAATTTTAATAGTGTGGTGGATATACATAGACTGTTTTTAAAAGTAGTATTTTCACTCGTTGAAGGGAAAAGTGCTACAATACAAACCATTGGTTTGATCCAACTTTATTACTTTTCTTAATACAAATAGTTTTGTGTGGTGACGGATAATAATAGATGATGTAATCTAAAAATATTGTTGATTATTTATTAAAGGGCTAAAGGATGTTTACAAAAATGATTCATCTTGGACTATACTTTGATACACTTCAGAATAGGTCTCGAAAATTTAACTTTTTTAGAAATTCAGAAAGAATATTATATGTTGAATTAAGGGAGGAATGCTATAGTTTGAGCAAAGTTTATGGTCCCTATTGACATAGGAATCAGAATCAATAAGATTGGGAAACTTGAGGTACACATAAATAAGTAGATGTTATAAAGTCATAAAATAATATGGATTTCATGTCATTCAAAAAATATGTATTCTAAATTCTTCAAACAAATTCAATGAATCATAACGGACTCTTGTATAAACACGAATTCTTATAAACCTACAACAATTTATTTTAGTGGTGATACAGGGGGGCGAAAAGAGGCAGAGCGTTCTGTGATAGACTTACATCTTGTTTGATGGAGGGGCAAATAAGAATAAGCAAATAAGAAAAATTGAATAAGCACTTCTGGATACCGCTAATCGATATAGTACTACTTCTCGTCTCGGGCACCAATACAAACGGTTAAAACCGGCCTTTGCATAATTCAATCTCTGTATGCAGTTAATGTGATGAGTAGCATAATTCCGACGATGCACCAAAGAAACTTTAATCGCATAAAGAATTATAAGAGTGTAAAAATCTATAACGGTAGCATATAATCCGTATAAAGGAAACGTTGAAATTATACCAATGAAATAATTCATATAAATTAGTGGAATATTTAGGTGCAATGAGTTCTAATTTTTATAAATTCTTTTTTGTTTTATTTTTCCTTTTTTTGTTTTTATTTTCTCAACATAACAATATTTATCTGTTTCCTTTTTTAATATTTTTAAAAGAAATATAAACAAGTAATTTTCGCAATAAATGATTTTACCATGTTTGTTTAAATGTGTTACCAATAGTTCTCTCATCACTTAGGTTAGTTGATATACTTGAATATCACATAGTTGACGTACTGAATATGTGTAGCTGACAATATTTTAGTAAAATAACTAGTCTATTAAAAAAACTTTTTTGATAGAACACATTTTTATTTTCACTTGGTTTTTTTGCATGAATTTTGATATTTAAAATATAAGAGTGTTCATTAATGTCAAAAAGACAATAAGAAATTTGACAGTTTATGATAAACAATGGTCCACATTGTTTATAATAACATATTTGTCAACAAAAAAAGAAAAAATTTTAATTTTTGTAAAACTATCCAAAAGTATATAAATACGAAATAAACTATATAATATCTGTATTTCACAAACCGTTCCAAACACAAATTTTACTCATTGATAATGCCTTAAAAGTTGATGATATTATTGTGAAAGAACTAATTATTGAATCATCCCGTATAATTTGTGTATATTTTATCAATGATAACGAAATTTCTTGGATTCAAATCCAACTATTTTGATATCGCAAGTTCTCAGTTACTTTAGGTTGTTTTCAAATAATCAAAATACAACAGATATCAAATACAGTGACATTCAAAATGCAGGGAAAAAAGTTTTGCAAACTCTAATTTCAGTATTTAACACCGTAGTGGTGTAGTAAAACTGCATTGTAAAAAAAATGCAAAGTAGTTTAAAATTTTTTGATTACTATATCCAGCACTTGAAAACAAATGAACAAATTTTGTAAACTAAATATTTCAAAAACATATTGGTTAGCTATTAAAACGTTAAATCTGGCACAAAAGTGCTAAATAATTTTATTTGGTCTAGTCAAATTTTTTAATTGAAAAAAAAAAAACTTTTTTTACATTTGTAGTACAAAAGTAGCCTCGATATTTTCCATATGCAGTTTGCTTTCTTTTCATAGTTAAAACCTATCCGTAACATTTTACACCGGTACAATGTAGTACTATATTAATACGGCACTTTGGATGTCATGGATAAATAATAACAATTTAAACTTAAAACAAAGGCAAAGGGTGATAAAGTGATTAATGTCAGTTTTCGATTCCATATTCGAAATTTTTATTATGATTAATGCGTTTAAACATCCTCCCTTGATAAAATTATCGTAAATTAGAATTATTGCTGTATAATATTTAATTAAATTAGAGAAATGTAAGAGTAAAATATGCGAAAATTACATAGTTTTGTATATATATTTTTTTTCTTTTCATTGTGTACAACGCAAAGATTTGCCAAGATATCACACGACGGTAACATTTTAATTAAATGTAAAAAAGTGTTACCGCTTATTTACAGCTACATAACTTAATTCACAAATATTTAATTGATGTTGGCAGCTTGGCAAATTGTTTCTTTTTTTTATAATTACTTTGAATTTTTGTTCTTCTTTTCTTTAAAATAACTTATAAGAAAAAAAAAAAATTCTAATGTTCGAAAAAATGTCCTCTGTTTTTTAAGTGTTTCCAATATTTTATTTATATTTTAACAATTTGTTAACTAATTAGTAGAATATTGAGAAAAAATAGAGATTTCTTTTATTGGAATTGAAAAGGTTTTAATCTTTTTATTTAGACAGAAAAAACAGTTTTATAATTTAAATTTTACATTTTTTATAATTGAAAATATCAAATATTAATTTATTAATTTTATGAAGCTATTTACATAATAAATTACATCAACTAAAATTTTAAACTTAATATGCCTTTTACATTTTCATTTTATAACCAAAAGTAAAAAAAGACATTACAGGGCGCCGGCCTTAGCACGATCGGCAAAATGGAAAAAACTTGACGAATTCAGCTTTTCATTTGATCATATGGAAATGTGAATGATTTCATTCGCTATGTTTTTGAAAATATTGCCTAATTCAAGACATCAAAATTGAATTACATTACAAAAATCGTCAAACGTGTTAATTTTTTTTTTCTTTTTTTTTAATGATTCGCCCTATTCTTGTCACACAGAATTTTTATTTGGCAATATCGACGATAATTTGGCAGGTGGGCGAAATTGTATATTGCCAAAAATGTAGTCTGCATCGCTGATCATATAAAATAAGGCTAATGAATAAAATAAGTCGTACATTATAAATCAATCATGATTCTTAGAACACGCTATTTTAATTATTTTTTTTTACATATAATTTACATTAACATACTTACAAATATTATAATATTTATGATGATGGTTATATAATTGAATTTGGAATGTAAAAATTTATATTCCAAGAGGATACACATACATATATAATTATGTAGGATACTTCAACATTATTTCAAAATTTTTGTTTAAATACCTTAAAATATTTAGTCGCTAGACACTTATAAAATTCAAATTTATCACACACTACCACGTTGTTGTTATGTTACGTTATATATACACATATTTCTTATAAACTGTCACATGTCTTCTATATAAATATACATACATATGAACAGAGATATTTAGTTCATAATACATTTATTGAAATACGTAAAAGCTTGTTTACTTTGCGGAATACCAAAGAAGAAATTATCTTGTTTCGGATTTCGTAACAAGGGAGAAAAAAATGTGATAATTTGAATTGAAGACTTGGAGCACAAAAAAAAGTATGTACAAAATTCTCGTTTAAATCTTTGAGTTTAAACTAATTTGAATGAATTAAGTTTAAATTTATTAAAATTTTAAATTGAGTTACGCGTAATTTTTCATTTAAAACCTCTATACATACACATTCGCAAGCTTTAGTTCAAATTCTGGTGTTTTTGGTCGAAAATTAAACACAGTCTTTCTTGCTGTGAGTGCAGCAAGGTCGTTTTTTGTACCTTTTCCATCTTAATTGCATCATATTAAAATAAAATAAAAAGAAAACTGAGTTTCAGAAATAAATTGAAAAATTTGGAATTTTTCATCTTTTATTTAAAAAAACTTCAAAAAAAAAATTGAAAAACAAAAATTATTGGATTACAATTGGCTTTTTTTTTAAATTGTTTTTTTTTTTAATTATTATTATTATATTATAATCAGAGAACTAAAATTTGATATCAATAAAAACTCAAGAACATAGTATTATATATAATATACAGAACAGGGTAATTTTGAAAGGTATGCAAAAATATTTACCATTGGATCCCTTTTACTAGCCCTTTTAAAAAGTGTTTGTTTGAAATGTCTTCCTTTTTTTGGAACGAAACCAAAAAATTTTACCCGTATTTCGTTAAAAACCCTGTATATCGGAAATCCTTGAAATTTGGCATCCATACCTCGGACCAAAAAATTTTACCCATATTTGATCCTCTAACCAACATAGTGTATTATTGTATACCTTTTGACGCCCTGTTTAATATAATAATACTTATAAAATAATAATAATAATAATAATAATAAAAGGCATAAGATCTTTTCATAGCCGCGATTTACAATTACAAACTGCGCTATATTTATGTTCATTAACAAATTTGGAAATCAAGTTTGTTTATAAACATTGCGCTGAATTATCAGAGTTATAGTGAAATTATTAGGCATATTCATAAATAAAATTATACTGCAAAACAATAATGTGATACATACGCAATATATTTTTACAAGTTGTATAAAAACTTTTGCTATTTTGAATTTGCAGCATTGTGTTCATGAACAAAAAATGTTAACAAAAAAAAATTTATTTATTTTGGGCCAAACAGTGGAAAATTCTATTTTAGGAAAAAAAAATTAAAACAAAAAGAAATTTTGTTATTTTTAAGTGCAAAAACTAGTACGAAAAAAATACAGTTGATTAACTGCGCTAGTCATGATAATTTAAATATTTTGTGATAGGTTAGCAATGTTTATGAACAAACTTGATTAGCAACATTTGTTTTTGAACACAAATATAACGCAGTTCTCGGTATATATCGCTATTATAAGTAACGCCCAGTTCAATCATATATGAACTTTTTTGCTTTTATATAGAACAGTTAAAAATATATTGAATATTATGATTACGTGCATATTATTATGGGAATCTCTCCTAAATATAAATAATCTTCATTTTAATAAATTCGCTTTGACATGTTCATTTGTTTTTTTTAGATAAAAAAACATCACATAAATTTAGTTAAATGCATTAATAAAAGAGCAATATTTGCAAAGTATAAAACATATTTACTTTATGTTATTCAATAATAATTGTACACTCTGTAAAAATAAAAAATAAAAAAATAAAATTAAAAGCAAATGTCAATTTGTGCTCAAAATATCAATGTCAAATTTTATATGTCAAAATATGTTTCATTTTCTTTTATTTTTAATCTATTGCATTTTTATAAAATATTTTATAATTGTTATAAACTACATATATCAACATACTTATCTACATAAGCATATATTTAGTGTATACTTATTATTAATAATCCAAATTAAAAAACTTTAAAATTACAGAGTGATTTATCGTAACAAAAATTATAATTATAATATATGACGTTTATTCTGTAAAACTACACATACAACATCAAGGCATATACGTACATATATACGTACACATATATGTACATATGCGTGATGAATAATAATAATCTTAAATTTTTTTCAAAATAAATCCGAAAGTAACATTTTTAAATTTTCCTTAATATTCGAAATGTTTTTAAATTATTCCCAATAAATTTGAGAAAAGTATTTTAGATCGTTCCAAATAAAATCGGAATGAATCTGAAATAAATTCGAAATAAATCCGATTTTTTTTTTTCCGCATTTTTTTTTTTTGCCTTTTTTTATTTCATATTGTGTGAATAATTATATACATTCATTAAATTTATTATTTAAATCGAAAATTTTTATAAAAAAAGGAAAAATATCTAAAGAGAGAAATCCGAACAGTAATAATTTTTTTACACTTACATATTTTGACATTTTGTTTTGAATTTTTAAATTATTTCAGTTTCGAATACCGACAAGACAAATATTACACACGTTATTAATATTTTCAATTAAAATTATAACATATTTGTTTCTATAAATAATAAAAATAAAATTGATTTCCAACAATGAATTTTCTCTCAACTGACAAAAAATGAATAAATAACATCGTCGTTGTTATTATAAAACTGCACTCAAAAAAAAAAAAATATCAAAATGCCAATGGAGATGAGATCAACACAGAAATAACGAGAGATCAAATACAACATTTGAAATTAAAAATTTGACTTGCAAGCACAAAACGTCGTCAAAACATACAAGACGAAATCAAATAATAAATGAATAAATAAATAAATAAATTAATGAAATTGATTTTTTTTAAATAATTTTAAAACTATAAAAATTTTATTTAATAACATATTGGTTAAGTTCAACTCTTTGAAAAAAAAAAAGCCAAAGTCATTCAAAAATAATCGCATTTAATACAAAAAATTATAAGAAACATTTAACAACAATGTTAAAATCTCATGTTTAGCACACCCTTCGCACTTAATTTATTAAATTAATTCGTGGGCGGATTATACGCACGCTCGTGTATGTACGTTATATATGAATTATCGAAAATCATCGTATAAATTACCAAAAACATTTCATAACACCTTACAATATTGCAGTAGATGTAGAATCAGGTTTGTCCATTAATCGAAACTATATTCGATCAATTGCAAATGTATATAATAGTTTTGAATTGCAATTGATTGCGATCATGTATTTTAGTTAAATAAATCTGTCATGTGTTTATAATAAACTGTAAACCATAAATATATTTACTTTACACTGTATTCGACGTCGTGTTTAAAATTGTAATATTGTATCTTTCCTGACACATAATTTTTTTGTTGATGAAATAGAGCCACACGCACAATGTGTACAAGAATATTTGCCACTTTCTAAATCACTAAGTTTTTTTCATTTAATTTTCAAATAATTTAAAAACTTTCACTTGAATATTCTTTCAAAACATTATAAAATTCACTAGAATTTAAGTGTGTTTTAGTGAATGATTTTTTTCTTTAGATATTTTAAAAGGTGACAGTATAGTATATGTACATACAAATGGTTATAATTAGAATATTGTCATTTCATTGAGGATTTTGGCGATAGCCCCATTAATATCATGTAATAATCCATCAAGAAAAAAAATTCACACTATCTTGTTATCTTCTGGAGACCTATACATTAGATCTTAAAAACAATTAATTGAGCATAAGATCCAAGAGAACATAGCATAATCCAATAAAAGATTTTGACATGAAACCGATTTTAAAACTGATTTACATATTTAAGCTTGTATTTCCTTTCAGCATTTAGATGTTTCTTTGTTTTTCCCCCCAAACCATGCCGCGTGTGAATGTTTATAATTTGTTATTAAACAAATTATCTACATTTTTCAAATATTTTTTGTAAATCTAAAGAAAATTAGAATTTGATGGAATTTTTTAAAATTGTTTGAATTATTCATGAGAAAATGAAATCATGAAATGTTGTCATAATAAAAAATATATTCTCACGTCATAAAATTTTTTTTTTTACCAAAACTTTATAGTAACTGTCGCATGGCCTATAGCGTAGAAGTATTGGTTAAGACTCATATATTAGTCTTTAGCTTCCTTTTTTTAACCGCAAATAATCTATAATTGTAATAAGGAGTTTCAAGTGAAAAATTTTTGTTCATTCTTATGATTTATGGTTTATTTAGTTGCTTATAGCTTTCAGTTCCAATTGGGAAACATTTTTTTAAGTCTGATATACTTATTATGAACTTTTATTTATATATTTATATATAACAGTCATATGTACATCCTGTATATATAATATTTATATGTATATAATGCCTATTTAAATTTTTTGTGACCTAAATTAAGAGTAGAGTCATTTAATTTCTATATATTAATTTTCCTAAGATTGACTTGATTGTTCGAGACATCGAGTAGATAATGAAATTGGATGTTTCTCAAAAAATCAATTGCATTTTTCAAATTGAGTGTAAGTGACAAAACAATTTTCGACATGAAAATTTATAAAAAAATGCAATTTGGATAAAACCAATTCAATAAATGAAGGTATTTAAATTATTCGGATTAGGTGTAATGGTTTTAAAATCAGTAAGATAACTGCGACTGCGATTCGATTCAACATGAATTCAATTCATTTTTTTTTATGTGAATTTGGAATCGATTTGATTCTGGGAAAAACTGGAATATGTACGTGTAAAACTTTTTTCTTGAAGATATGATAAAAGTCCCAATTTTCATACATATATGAAATTCAAATTTATGCTAATTTCCGCGTATTCTCTTATTACCACAGATAATTTCAAATAATATTTTTGGGCATTATATATGTATATGTATAAGTATATATATTGAATTGGGATTTAAATTGGCTTCCCGAAAGAAAAAAATAGTAAAGAAAATTCAAAATTTCGTTTTGAACACACCTGGCTTCAAAATTGTAATAAATATAGCATGGCATACACAATTCACCTTATGAGATGCATTTGCTGAATTGTGTATTAATGCGTAATATTACTGTTATTACAATTTTTAATTCAAGGTAACACAAGAACAAAAAAAAAAAAGAAAAAAAAACATTCGTTGTCAAACAAAATTTTTTAATTTTTAATATTTTTTTTTTCATTTAGTTTTTATTTGATTTTTTATTTATACTGGTTTTTGTTTGCATTTAGCTTTTATTTTTTCTAATCAAAATTTGATATGATGAATATTCGTTGTCATAAATTTTGATCCCTCTTTATAATATATATATATATTAGTGGCATGAACTGACGCGAGAAGAACAAAGTAAATATTATGAAAAAGCAAGACAAGAAAGACAATTACATATGGAATTATATCCTGGCTGGAGTGCAAGAGACAACTATGGTTATGTTTCAAAAAAGAAGAAACGTAAAAAAGAAAGAGCCGCCGCTGATACGGGAGGTATTAAATAATTAAAAAAATAATTTTAAAACTAAAAAAAAAATCAAACAACAAAGCAATAAGTTTTGATAAAAAAATTTATATAGAAAATAATATAAAATTCTAATAAAAGTAAATAATAAGAATAATTGATAATAATAATAATAATAATAATTAAATTATACACCAGAATTTCTTTATACATATTACTTACGAGTTTACTTATTCTTCCGTTCTAAAATAACCAAAAAAAAATTAAAAAACTTAAATAAAAGGAGCATATTTAAAAAACGCAAACAGTTATACCATATTATATATAAATCAGATTAATGTATATATATAAAAAAAAATAATGGTAGAGTAGAATGGTATACATATATTTATGTTAAAAAACAAAAAAAAAAACCTGTATGCTAATATCGCGCATAATTAGTTTTGAATTCATAGATGCAAAGTGAAGAGTATGAACTACGCAATATAAGGGTAATTCATGTCTTCAAAAGGAGTAAAGAATGATGTAATCCGCCATTCGGGGATTCATAATTCGTAAAATTGAAACGAACATATGAAAATAATATATATATACGAAAATTTTAGCACAATATTTATAAGACAAAATTCTGAAAGTAAAATATACTTTACAATACAACAGTACAATTTTTTTTAGTAGAATTATCATGCATTGCATATGATTTCTACATATAAATATACCTGTTTATATGACAACTTTTGCATCATAAACATTTCATTCCCCTTGCTCATAGAAACTTTCTTGGTAATAACAGGAATGAAGAGTATATGTAAACAATTAATGCAAAAATTGTCGTGTCAGATAATGTAATTCATATCGTTTTGACACAAACTAACATATCATATTTTGACATACATATGTAAGTTGAAATTTCTTGGTTTTAATTTATTTTACACATATACATACATATGTACATTTTGCATTGGAGGGTAAAAGAGTATATTATTTTTTATCAAATTTTTTGCGGGATAATTTTAGTTATTTATGACTTTGCATCTGTGATTGAATATTATATATGAAATCTTATTTTTTTTTTTGTTATTTGTATGTATTATATATATATTAACGCTCACACACATACACATATACAATTTTATGGTGGTGCCAAATTATATTCTATTGAATAATCATTTAAAAATTTAACAATTTTTTAATAGTTCAATAAAGTTTTTAATTAAAAAATAAATAAAAATTTTGTAATTTTTTTATTTAAAAAAAAAAATTCAAAATAAAATCAATTTTGAAACTACATTTTTATTGTTTTATTTATTTACCAACAAATATTGTAACAGATAAATCATATTTCATTCGTTTCGGTTCATTCAAGACCGCATGAACAAATTTAGGCAAATGAAAAAAAAAAACAAATATAAGAAAAGTTATGATTGGTACCGAACATATGGGACCATAGTGAAATTCGAAAATATCAAAAATAAAGTTAAAACTGAAAAATTTTTAAAAGTTTACAGCTTTTTTTCTCTCATTAAATTTGAAAATATCAATTATAAATGAAAATTCAAGAGAAACGGGATGGTTACTTTTTTCTATAAATATGGCTAAAAGTACTCGAAATGAAATTGTGAGTGAATATTTATTTTATATCAAAAACTAAAAAAATAATTTATGAATCCGTGAAAAGATTTAATTTTGCTAACAAGTTTTTATTTATTTTTTTTTTTAAAGAATTTTTATTCCTGCTGAATAATGTATCAATTATTCAGCAGGAAATTTACACCATAACCGTGTGAGCGTTATTGCCGTTATTACTGATATATATATATATATATATATATATTAGTATATTTATATTTAGATATCTATAAATACCTATTATATATTTATCTATTATATGTATATACGTATATATAAAATTGAATATATAGCGTCCTCATATCAAAGATGTTTTATAGTTTTAAGAAATTGTTTTTTGTTATTTATTCATTTTTTCGACATACATACATACATAATTCGAAAAAATCAATGTTGTTTTGAATAATTATATGCTTGACACTTTGTTGAAACTTTGTGAATTTGTTTACCTTTGAGTTTTTTTTCCATATTTTTTACTAAAATATATACGTTGCAATTATACGTATTCAGTAATTATAAATTTTTCTTTTACATTGTTAACCAGTTTTGCATTTATGCGAGTCGAAATCTCGGAGGTTTGACTGTATAATTATTTTATTAACAGATATATACCAATTTAATTATCGACATAAGCGATTATATATATATATATATATGCTAAGTATGCTAAGTCTATTGTATTTAAGTATCTAAGTCTAATTAACCTATTCTATAATTCCACAATGTATTAATAGGCCAACAATTTAGCTATAATATAGACTCAACGGCCAGTTGTGCCGTTTAACTCAGATAAACTGAATGCTGGAACGAGATTCCTGTGCAAATGGCCGATATGATTACGGATTATTATGTTGAAAGATTTGGTTTCGATAAGAACTTTTGTGCCGAATTTCCTTACCGTAGTCAATACGTAAAGCAGAAATCCACTGCGAGGTTTTGATGTGGGCTTTATTCACCGAAGTTTCAAGGATGGCAATAGTGTCAGTATTGAGTTTCCGTGGTACATGAAGTGTCTTCCTAACAGATCGAGTATCTGTGTAGACTTTTTCGCCATATTGAAGACATTTGATATTATAGGGGGTGCACTCTTGTTGAAGCTAAACTGTCAATAGTGGTTGACAGTCTGGCCGTGTTTCTATGTCTTAATATCTGCTACGCATTTATTAAAGCGAAGTATCTTCATTTAATATCATTAATTGAGGTAAATTAAAGTAAGAGTAAAAAACATATACTCTCCTAATCACACAGTCTTGTGGTTTTCTTTCTCTTTTGTCAATAATATGCCAAATAACTTTATTTAAAATTAATTTTAAATTATATTGTAATTATTGAAAATATTCTGATTATTAAAATCTAATTAACTATATATATATAAAATGTAACGGAAAACAAAAAATTCAAGACACAATGAAATAATAAAAAACAAAAAAAAAATTAAATTATTACATTTACTAAAATTTTCCTTTTTTTTGTGTTGCTGTCAATGTCATTTAATTTAATAATCCGTTAAATTTAATAATTAAGTGATTTTAGTTAATTTTAATTCAATAAAAAAGAAAATTGGCCCAATTTTTAGTTAAAAATTGCGTTTAAAAAAAGAAATTAAAAAAAAAATATACAAATAAATAAATATGCAGTAGAATCTTTATATAACGAACAACTAAAAACCAATTAATTTTGCCGGTAATAATTGAATAAAAAAATTCTTTTTGTTTTTCAAATCAAATATAAATACCACGATCAAAAAATTTGTTAATTAGTAAAAGTTTTCATTATATAGAGGATTCTACTATATATAAAGAATAATAATTTCTTTCAATTTATAATTTGAATTTTTTGAAAAAAATTTTTTTTAGTTTTCCTTTTTTGTAAATAAAATTTGATTTTTTGTTTTTAAATGAAATTAAGCTTTTTACGTTCTCATTAGTATAGAAGAAAAAAAAATAAATAAATTTAATTTAATTTTTATTATTCTGGAAAATTTAATTAATTTGTTTTCATAATTATATTTAATGGTCACCTTTATTTTCTGGAAGAGACATTCAATTTATTTGTAACCATTTTGTTGATATATAAAAATATTATTGAAGATGCGCATCAATTTAACAATATAAATGTGATATGTAAAACATTTTAATACGTTCGTATCTATTATAGGTGGTGAGAATTCGTTTTTGCAGAAAATATTATTATCCATCACTTCCAAAATGCAGTAATAACGTATCAATATACAATTCATCAATTCACACTTATACTGCATACGTTAATATTTTAAGTTTATTCTCACTTAAAGCGTCATGAACAGAATACTATACACGGCTATATTTACTGCTAACAGAGAAAATGTCAAGAAAAAAAACATTTAAAAAATTGAATGTTTTGCATAAAATTTTAGAAGAAAAATTTTTTTTTAAAAACTGTCTTTAATTATATCAAATACGGTGTACACATTTGTTGTAAAAACGACCAATCCACAGGGGATGAATCTTCGAAGTCAGGTTTAATGATAGGTGAATCACCTTCCAGATACATATAGCGCATAATGTAGGTTCAATCATATTATATTAAAATGCTTTAAGTACAATAATGTAGAGGCAGTCGTTGTAAATGTTTGTTATTCTACTAATTTTAATTTTTTTGATTTAGTTTTTCTCTCAGTAATACTTTTTGTCTGGTAAAATAATTATACAATATTGCATTTGATAGTTGTCCTGAACGTAATTTTTTGGAGTATACTCGTATTCAAAAATATTACTCGTTATTCTAAAAATATAATTAAATTAGCGTGAAATTTTACAAGTTTACAAACAATTCAAAAATATTTTTTATATTCTTCCAAATCCCATATAAACATTTAAAAAATGAAAAAAAATTTCCTTCAATTGCCTCTCTGTAAAACAAAAAAAAAACTCCTATTGGTAGTTATAATAACAGCCTCGCTTCAAAACTACAGTAATATGGTGTTAATACACAATTCAGCAGTTACAATTAATAAGCTGAATTGTGTATTAAAGTAATATTACTGCTAAAAAATGCAAACGTAAATAATATTAAAGATTTCTTCATAAGAGATTCAATTTAAATTATAGATTTTGTTTTATTTTTTTATTAATGATTTCTTTGTTATTTAATTTTTTGTTTTTGTTGTGATATTTGACATTATTTTGACATTTAATATTTGATATTTACGTTGTTTGCTTTTGCATTTATTTATACAAAGTTATATAAAATAAATTTGAAAAATCTTTTTTGAAATCCAAGATGTTTTGGATTTTTCTTATAATAATTCTCATATATGCGATACCAACGTAGAACTCACATATATGCAAATATGTAAGAGATTTTAGGGTTGTACTTAAAACTTTCATTAACTGGGTGTGTGTATAAATTAAATACGTTC